CTCTCTCTGCAACTACAAACTACAAAATCTACAAGAATCAGAAGTTCAAAACCCATATATTTTTCAGATCTGTCTGCAAGAATCAAAAGTTCAAAACTCATATATTTCAAATTGTTCAAAAAATCAAAACCCAACCCGAAAGAGAAAGAGAAAGATTGATGATGACCAGAAGTTCTTTGAAAATGCAGAAAGAGAAAGAAGAGAGACAGAGAGAGAAAGAGGAAGAAGAGAGAGGAGAAAGAGGCAGTGGATCTGAGGGACGGCGGTGGCGGTGGCAAGGACGGCGGCAAAGAGAGGAAAGAGGAAGGCGAAATTTTTTTTTTTTTTTTTTGTAATTTGGGTTTCGGGTTGGGTTCGGGTTGAGCCCGAGACCAACCCGAATATGTCTGAGTTTTGACAAAATCCAACCCGAACATAACCCGATTTGTAAATTATATATCCAAATTTCGAAATTTTTGGGTTGGGGTTGGGCTAGGCTGGGTTAGCCCCCCCAAGTTGCAGCCCTAGCTTCAGCAACATCTGAATTTGGGATATTGAGCATGAAGGTGGATGTTGTTTTAACGGCCCTGCCTTTGAAATCGCAAAGAATGAGCCCTCCTCTGGCTGATTTCGAATGATGCCAGAAAACAGCGTCCACGTTCAATGGTAGTCAGGAAGAGGCATCCAGTGGGATGGGGCAGGAGGACAGTAGGCTTGCAGAGAAAGATCCAAAAAGGAAATTTCGGAGAATTCGAAGTAATTGAACATATGATCAAAAATGTCCTTTGGATCCTCGTTGATGTTGTTGAAATGCCAGTCGTTACGACCTTTCTATATTTGCCAGCAAATAAATGAAGCAAGGCTGCCATTTGGGTGAGGCTGCCACAAATCAATGAACTTCTGCCACTGCTTGGCTCATGGGATGAAAATATAATTAAATTGAAGGCGCAGAGGGCTGAGGTGCCAAACTGTTTGAGAGGAGGGGCATTTGCAAATGAGGTGGAAGATTGTATCAAGTTCAAGGCCACACCTTTTGCAGGTATCATCATGGATGATGCCTCTGGATTTGAGATTGGATAGGACTGAAATTCTTTCATGGGCGCATTGCTAGAGAAAAAACTGAATTTTCCGTTTGGTTGGGATCGACCAGAAGCTCTTCCTTTGGGACTTGAACTCTTGAGTACGGCTGCTTGTATCTTGACCAATTGCTTAGACCTGGGGGAGGAGGGCTTGTGATTTAAGTTAGAAGCAACACTGTATATAGGCGCTTTTGACAGAGAATTTACCATCCGAATTAGCATTCCAAGTGGGAGAGTCAGAACCCCCAGTGATTTTAAGGGGAATTTGGAGAATGAGATCACTGTCTCTAGTATTAAAGAGTTGAGTGATGAGATCCACCTTCCAACTAGAGGAATCAAGGTTTATAAGAGATCAGCAACAACAGTCACTTGTGAGTCAAGAGGTGGTGGAGTGCTGATGCAAGGATTGGATGGGTCAGGTAGCCATGGTCCAACAATCTACCTTTGAAACATTAGCAATTTGCCACTGGAAGCAACTCAGAATGATGTGTTTTACTGATTGTATCCCCTTCCAGGCCCATGAAGCAAAAGGCTTATGAGGAGAGTCGAGAAAGGAGCATGCTTTGAAATATTTGCTTTTGTACAAGTGAAAACGGAGGGAATTGTCCTCCATGGTGAGCCTCCAAGCTATCTTGGCAAGAAGGGTTTGGTTGAAAGTCTCAAGATCTTTGAAACCTAAACCTCCTTCTGCCTTAGAATCACAGAGCTTAGACCAACTGAGCCATTTCACTTGATTGCTGCTTTCCTTTCCACTCCATCAGAAATTCATCATCTTGCTATTTAAAGATGTGCGAGTGCCGATGGGAAGTTTGAAACAGGACATAACAAAATTTCTTTACCTACCTTAGAGAGGAGATCCCCTTTGATGAGCTTGATTCTGGAACTCACTCGGTCAACCAAATAATTGAAGGTGCTAATTTGGATCGACCCAGAAAGGCAGGAAGACTAAGGTAGCTGTTGGACCAACCAATTTCATGGATTCCAAGGATTCTGATACATTAAGCTTTGGAAGTGGCAATGGTGTTGGGTGAAGTAAGCGCTAGATTTATCAAAGTTTACCTTTTGGCCAGTAAGATCTTCATGGTCCTACAGTCTGCCTCTCAAGTTTTGGGCTTCAGGAACACTAGCTTGGCAAAAAAGGATTGCATCATAGGCAAAGTGAAGGTGGGAAAGAGGTGTGAGGTCTCTAGTTAAAGAGATGTCATTAATGCGGTTTTGATTAGAAGCAAGATTGAGGAGAGAAGTGAGACCCTAAATACACAGGGAGGAAGAGGTAAGGAGAGAGAGGGTTGTCGAAGGCCTCTAGAAGGATAGATGTGACTGCTCGTTCATCGCCCTCAAGGTAGCTGAATCATCGAGTCATAGCTCAGACAAAATTAGGAAGTATGCTCCAATGACTCGTCTACTATGATTTCTGTTAATCATTTTCTTGCTTACATCTAGATTAAGCATTTAGAAATTGCCGAATTTGGTATATTTTATTAGTTATAATAGAAGACGATAATTTTAATGGTGTTGATAATTTGTGTTTGGCCTTATTATGTTTCAGATTTTGGTCTCTTGTTTTGTGGCAACCTCAGATTTTGAGGAGTACCTCTGTGTCAAGGTAAGAGTTGCTTATTTCAATTGGATATTACTGGATAAGTGGTCTCTACCAGCTGATAGCTAAGATGCATCACAATATTAAAAACTTAGAAACTAAAGAATTTAAATTAATTTTTTTCGTATCCAATCTTTTGCAATTGGTTGATCTCCATTTTGGGAATCCTTGATGGATTCCTACTGAACTCGAGATAAGAAATGCACCGAAAGGGGCACTTTTTTTTTTTTTTTTTGGGTTTCTTTTAGATTTTTCAGGAGGAATGTTTGAGCTATATTCCAAATTACTTTTTGACAGTTTGCTTTTCTGAGTGGATGATGGTTTTCTAGATTTACATTCCATGTCTAGCTCTTTAAAAAATGATGTGGAGTCGAATTGTTGTTTCTGTCCTTGGTTTCAAGCTTTGCTATTAACTGGTAATTTAGTGTTTCACTAAAGAATGTATGTTGTTTGATGAACAGGAACCGGTAGTGTTGGATCTTCTAAGAGTTATTAGCCACCACCGAGCTCGGCTTGCCCCACCCATTCACACAGTTTATAAAAGTGACACTGAAGACGGTTAAAGGCTTCGTCACCATCCATAGCTAGGCCTGCCTTGGAAGATAATATTGTCCTCGGTGTTGCTTTAGAAGGGTCAAAACCTAGAAAGAACGGAGACTTCATCGAAGGAGCTGTTGTGTCGTGTTCGACAAGGACACCGACACTCAGACAATTTCTTTTTGTTTGATCCGATTCTAATACAATGCTCCAGATTTTTCTATATTTGAATTTCTTTACTTTATGTTTTAGTAATTTGAAATAAACACCACCAAGATTCAACCAAATCGGTGCATTGAATTGGAGGAAATTTAGTTCAAACTCAATTTCAAATTCAAGCCGCCGATTTAATGTTCCCAAACATAGATAAAGATTTCAGTAATAAATTGTTAATCATGTAACATGTTGGAGCAGGTAGAAATGATTTGATCTTCTCTTCTTATTGTATTGGATTATCAAGGATTGGTTTACTGTATATGCTACTGTGAGAATTTCTTCTATAAATGGAATAAATATAAACTGCATCTTCAAATTAATTGTTGAAAAGTAAACAAAAATGGAATGATTCAAGTTTTTTTGTTATTAGCCAAGCCTTGATGACTTTTTTTTTTTTTTTGAATCTCCTATAAACCAAAATTATTTATTAATATATGAGCTACTAAAACATCGTTCTTAGGATATTTCTCTGGCTAATTGCGGTAGGAAGCAGTGTAGTTTTGACCATCCCAAATGTAATAACGAGAAAGAAACTGGTGTGGTGTCAAAAAAAACAAAAAAAAAAAACTGGTGTGGTCCTCTACATACCTTGAGAGTATGAATACATCATAGAAATACTCTGGGAGAAGAGTTGGTATACATTGGCAGGTGCTCATAATCTCTACAGTTGTAATACCTTTACGTGATTATAGTTTAATTTCCTCATTTGTAGATGCAGCCTTGATTTATGAAGCACGTAAATCTTGTGTTGTGTATGATTTGTGGTTACTTTATTGGGTTGGTTGAATCTTCACGTGTTCTTGTTATCGGGTTACAGTTTTGGAGAAGTTCGACCTGGTACACTATTTTCGACTAGCCCAAATTCGGGTTCTTGCACGATTGTTTTAGTACCTTCTTCCGTTGCGTTGAACCAACAGTTGAGGCCAAGGAAAATTGCCCGAATAGCGGAGATCTCAAAAAAAATAAAATAAAAAAGCTTGTCTTCGAGTTTAGCAGCGGATAAATTGACTCATCATATACGAGTATGAACAAAACTTCGTACCATCAATGACCTGATCTTTCATAAACTTCTCTAATCATGGTAGCCGAATATTCTTGTTTTGAAAATATAACAAATTAAAATTTAACAAAAGAAGTTGAAAGAAAAAATGTTATCATATAAAATATTATATATAATGTATTTAAAATAAATAATATTAAAATTCGGGTACTGGTTTGTTTTTTTTTTTTCCCTGAATGGGATGTTTTTTTTTTGTAATTTTATAAATAAACCATAAAGGTACAATTACAAAAGGAGGAAACTCCTCCAATACAAGTCAAGCAATGAAAAATTCCATTGTCAAAACAAAATCCAAAAGAAAATAATAAAAACATAAACCAAATGTCAAAACATTCATCCTGTTGTAACATGTCAAAAACATAACTCTGGAGCAAATTAACATGAAAGATAGCCCAATGTGACACATCAGATCTCAACTGGAACCCCGGCAATATTGATTTAGAGCAATTGTCCAATTTCAAGCACTCCAAGAAGCAACATTTCATTGAACAAAACCCAGCAGATAGACAAAAAACCGGAACCTTCCTTACTAAAAAATGAGCAGTAAATCTTCAAGTCTGATTTTGAGATGAGTCAGCACCTCCCAAATAATAGACTGTGCAGCAAAATTAGTTTGGATTTGAACTCCATTGTGCAGTACATCATTTCTGATGGCCCATATTTTCCAAATAACAGTTGAAAAAACTGAGCTCAACACTTTTGATTTTGTAGAAGTAGAATTGGTTTGTAAGCCAAACCACTCCACTAGTTGCATGAGAGAATTACATCCTGGATTATCTATGCGTAGAAGAGAAAAAATCTCACACCATACCTTCTGAGCATAGCTACAAGTGCAAAATATGAGATCATTGGAATCCACATTTCTCATACAGTTGTGACAAATAGCAGCAAGGGTAATGCCTCGTTTTTGCAAGTTTACAAAGGATAAATTCTTGTTGTGTAAAATGATGCAAACCCCTATAGCAATTCGAGGCCTGCAGACTTATCGAAAAAAAAAAATTCGAGGCCTGCAGTGTTTCCAACATAGATCCCACCAGTTCACAGTTGGAGTAATATATCTGCATGAGTTCAAAGCTTGTTTCAGATTGAAACTACCATTCTTCCAGCCTATAGTGTCTAAACCTGCAACAATATTAATCCTCTGGATAACATTAAACACTGTCTCAGGAATAAATTCAGGTCTATTCCATCTGCCATTTATAATAAGATCTGCTAATAAAGCCTTCCTGTCCCCTTGTCGAAATAATGTAGCTCCAAATCTCTGGATTAAAGATTGGTTATCACACCAAGGGTCTGTAATCATCATGAACTTCATCCCATTCCCTACTCTATACTCAATGTTTTGTAAAAGTAAATGTCTAACCCCAAGAATTTGTTTCCAGATGGGAGAATCTGATTTTTTTTTTGGAATGGCATTCCAAAAAGAAACTCTTTGAAAATACCTTGCATGCAGCCATTGGATTCACAGTTTATCCTTTTTCTAAATAAAATCCCAGCACAAAGTCATTTTGGCAGCCGCATCTATATCTTGTATTTTTCTAAGATTAAAACCTCGAAATTGGCAAAGTCACTTGACTCCATTTGAACTGAGAGATCTTTTTAAACTCTAATTTCCCACTCCATGAGGAGTGTTTAACTGAGATTGGTTTGATTTGGTTTATTAGTAGCTTAACCCAAGTTCGATCCTAATTAAGTTCGAGTTGAGATTTTTCAATCCGAACTGAACCCTAATTATAATAATGAGTGTCTAAGCTTGCAAAAAATCAAATTGGGCAACCCAAACATGCCCAAAATTCAAACTGTACTAGAGGTCATATGGTTGTTATTTCGTACATCTTTTTGCTCCCAGAAGCTCTCAGACAGGCCCTTACTTATCCTTGTTTCTACTATAATAAATACATTAACTACACGTGAACTAAAAAAATTAATTCTATAAACATTGAAATAAAATCCTAGTATGTATTTAATACTAACATACTTTTAAATTTAAAAATGCTGCGTACTGGGCTAGGTATGACCCACTGCACGTCACACAAGCCAAAAATCAGAATCTAATAGTCATGAACCGTGGGACAATGTAAAAGAAGATGATCCACCGGCTCTCTATCCCAATTACAATTACATGTACATTAATTTCTTGATTCTCTTGCTTCCCCAAGCTCTTCCGGATTGCCACGGGTAGGCAAGCGCCATGGTGGTCAATTATTATTGGCTTGATAGCGGATATTCGTTTCAATTGTTTCTGAACACCTTATTCCACTTCTTTATATCATCATTCAAAAGCCACAATTTACCAGCAAGAGTAAAACTTGAGATGATGTGAAAAAAAACATTCTGTTGACGGAAATCACCTGGGCAGCCGCTGTTTGGGCCCTTTTGAACGGCACAAAATGATTTCTTAAATGTGCCCCATTGAGATTGTAATTGGAGAGAGGCTTCTTATAAGAATGCAAAAGTTTGGGCCCTTGTGTAGTAACACAGCTCAGTTTCTAGACACTGGCCCAATAGGAAAAGAACCCAAACCTCTTGAAACAGTTCCCTGTCTTGTGGACTTAAATCTAGGCTTCCTTCCCTTACCCATATCAGCAAAGGCCTCTATTTTGGTCCAAAAAAACTGGACCACTAGGTTTACAAAAATTAGCCCCATTTGCTGCAACTTTGAATTGGGATGCTTCCCTCGGCCCAACCAAGTATCTGAAATACCAGCAGTGTCACTAGCCTTCAAATTTTGAAATTCTTGAATTGATGCCAGATGCATTCCACGCACGACCTAAGTCATTTTCTCACCGCACGCGTGGAAATTGATTATTTTTTTTTAACCGTCCTTGCTTGGACGGATAAAAACCCATCTGAGCAGTCGCGATAGCCTGTAATCTGGATAGAAAGATTTGTTGATAGATTGATAGTATAGTAGGCTGTAGTCCTTTTGTTTAGTTGCTCTTTGGGCCTGCTTCTCTTTTGAGTGCTTCTTAATTGAGACATTACTTCTTAAAAAAAATGAGAGAGAAGATACAATTTAATACTTCGAGTTAAGAGAGTGTATTGAAATCTAAGTTTGGAAAATCTTCTAAACTAGGTTTGTCTGAACCTATCTCAATTGTGACTCAGTAAGGCCCTGTTTGGTTTTTGTAATGATTTTGGTGTTTTTGTTGCAGGTCTGTTACAGTAGCCCATTTTCAATCCAAAACATGTTTGGCTAGGAGTGTTATATTTTAAACAGTTGCAAAACATTGTCAAAAAAATAGTCCAAAACATGTTTGGTTGGGCCGGTTATATTTTAAACAGTTACAAAACATTGTCAAAAAATAGCCCAAAATTTGAAACACCATTTAGGTGTTTTACCATGATTCGGCACTGTTTGGGCCACAATATATACTGTAGCGGAGGAAACAATTGTGGTCATTTAACCGAGGAAACAATTGTTGCACATATAAAAGTGGGAAGTTATCATTTTCTAGGGTTTCGTCGCTCTCCTCCTCTCTGGTGATATTGTAGGCGGCGCGATTGTTTGGCTAAAAACGAACACTGATCGAAGTTCCCAATGCTCTTTTCGCTCGAAACCTTTGACAATCTTCATTCGTTTGCTATTATCTTCCACGACCAGTCTAGGTTTGACGAGTTTCTTCAAATATATGGAAATCGTGGGTGTATTTGAGTTATTTTGTTTTTAGTTTTGCGGTTGGAAATCCATAGATGGAGTTCAAATTTGGAGTTTCGTTGAAAGTTCAAATTTTTTGAAAACCCTAATATTTTCGATTAGTTTTACCCTTAGGTTTCAGTTTGTGACTGATTTCCTCGACTTTTGTGTTTTGAAATCGACATATTAGAGGAATATTTGTACTATTTTGGGCTTTCTTTAAACTGAAACCAGATTTTTTTGAAACCCTATTTGTTTTTTTTTTTTTTTGTTTTTTTTTTTTTGTATACATGATTATGACTAATTTTTTTGAATTTTGCGTTTTTGAGGATTATTTAGCCTTTGTTTAGACTGAAATGATAATTCTTTGAAACCCTAAAAGTTTTAGTTTAATTTTACCTACTACATTTTTTATTAGTTCGAATATTATGTTCAAAATCGATGGAATTGAGGAATATTATATGTTCAAGGGGGTAATTTTTTTATTTTGTATAATTTTAGCTTCTGTATACATGTTTAGGACTTTTTTTTCGATTCTTTTTTCTTCAAAACGGACAGAATTAAAGGAATATTGTATGCAATGAGTCAATTCTTTTTAGTAAAAAAATCATTTTTATATGAATTGGAAAGGCTTTTCTTTTTGGTTTTTCTGTTGGCAATGCATAGTTGAGAATTGATATGGTTTTGAAAACTCTGAGCCTACAAAGCAATCTGCACAAAGTTATAATACATTCAATCTGCACAAAGTTATAATACATACATATATATATATATATATATATATATATATATAGTCCTATCTTTTCACACCATGGTCTGTAAAATAATGGAAATAGGTAATGCCAAATGAACATCACAAGATTGCCGCATTACAATATTTGGTTTTGGAGCTAAAATTCAATTCTGCAGATCGAGTAGTTTTATGAATTTTAATGGGGCTTAGGATCCCACACGCTAATAAAAATCAATAATCCCAGTATATATACATAGCATTGGTAGGTACTTTTTGTCCATTATATGTAGGTCCATTAGTAGTCATACTTTTTGAAGCCTTCTATGTATGAGTCCAGTTTTTTATTTATTTCATGAATGAGTAGTACTGCACTATGAGTTACTACTACTCTTTACTTAAGTCTATTCAATTCCATCTCTACATATATTGTAACGATCCACTCCATCACATGATATGATATTGTCCGCTTTGGGCCTGAACCCGTACAGTTTTGCTCTTGGACTTCACCCCAAAAGGCCTCATACCAATTGGAGGTGACACACTTACATATAAGCACTTCACATTTCCTCTACCCAAGCGATGTGGGACTGTGCACCTGTAGCTTGCCAGTGTGGTAGCCTGATAATGTCTCTTGCACCCGCCCACGGCACACCCGCCCACAAGGTCATCACAATCCACCTATTTGTAACGACCCACTCCATCACATGGTATGATATTGTCCGCTTTGGGCCTGAGCCCGCACGGTTTTGCTCTTGGACTTCACCCCAAAAGGCCTCATACCAATTGGAGGTGACACACTTACATATAAGCACTTCACATTTCCTCTACCCAGGCGATGTGGGACTGTGCACCTGTAGCTCGCCAGTGTGGTAGCCTGACAATGTCTCTTGCACCCGCCCACGGCACACCCGCCCACAAGGTCATCACAATCCACCACTCTTGGAGGCCCGACGTCCCCGTCGGCACACTTCCGGCTGGGTCAAGCTCTGATACCATTTGTAACGACCCACTCCACCACATGGTATGATATTGTCCGCTTTGGGCCTGAGCCCGCACGGTTTTGCTCTTGGGCTTCACCCCAAAAGGCCTCATACCAATTGGAGGTGACACACTTACATATAAGCACTTCACATTTCCTCTACCCAGGCGATGTGGGACTGTGCACCTGTAGCTTGCCAGTGTGGTAGCTTGACAATGTCTCTTGCACCCGCTCACGGCACACCCGCCCACAAGGTCATCACAATCCACCCCTCTTGGAGGCCCGACGTCCCCGTCGGCACACTTCCGCCCACAAGGTATGATATTAGTTTTGTTTCAGTTGATATTAGTATTTATTTGGTTGAAATTCTAAATAGTAACTTTTGGTTAAGGGGTGCTTGAGTTACGGGATTCCCGAGTTGTAACAATTTGGAAGTTATTAATGGATTTACTATTAATTAGATTTCTTCAACGTTTTATTTTATTCTTTAATTCATTTTGTAATCCGTGCTTGTTTAAATACTTTAATTGTTTTGATATTCCCTAATTTTGTGCGCGGACTTGATCAACCCGTGTTCCGAAATTAGGGGGTATCACATATATGTTGAATCAGTCCTACTTGGTCTAATTATCAATTCTGTTTAATCTAAATTATATGTGTTGCTTTTCAACTTGCAAAAACTTTATTGGTACAAACCTAAATGGTACAAACCTAGATGGTCTTAATGCTGCCATGATACTATACACATTAGTAATGGGTATTGAATAAATTTTTTTACACGCGCGCGCGCGTAGTCATATCTTTGAGATTATTAAAAATGTACCCACGCACATAGTATCATACATTATTGAAGAATATATTTGTAGTAAAAGTTATACTAAAATCTAACTTAAAATTAAAATGATTAATTAGATGGATGCGAATGATAAGAATATGGTGCCAGTAGATGTAGAGGACCTGACAAACATTACCGACGATGGAAACCTAGTATGAGATGACTCTAATATTGAAAATT